ACCCAGCAGTGATGTGTGGAGCAGGTGGGCAAGTTCTCCACTGAGACTGGCTCAGGACACCGCAGGTAGGGTGCACTCAGCTGGGTGGATGGGATGGGGCTGTGGTGGGTGGGTGGGAAGCAGCATCTGGGAGCAGGACAGGCAGACAGGTGCTGGTGCCAGGATCGTGGCATACCAGTGACAGCACAGGGCCAGGACCTGGGGCAGAGCCACAATCTACTCCCCACATGTCCCTGCCCACAGAACCAGCACCCATTATAGGGAGGTGTGTGGAGCAGATTGTGGCTCTGCCCTGGGCCCCAGCCCCATGCTGTCACCATCCCACTCCCAGACACCACGCCGCACCCAACTGTGGCCCCACTTCCTGATCCTATTCACCCAACTGAGTATGCCGTGCTTGTGTGGGTCCTGGGCTTCTCCATGGAGACCCCTCCTGCCTGCCCTCTCAGTCCAGCATCCTTGCTGGTGGGTGTGGGATGGATGTGGCTGGATAGGATCAACTGCCCTCACCCCTGGCCGTGTCCTCACCCCTACACCTAGCCTGCAACAGCTCACCAAAACTCCTTAAGTGGCTCTCCAGACCAAATAATTGCCTGCCCATGCTTCAGTGGGAACCTATTCCACCAATCTCAATTCCCTGGTAAGCTATTAACTTCTTTCCTTTTGTAACATGCCATCATCTTAACTTTGAAACTAAATAAAAAATGCATAACAGAAAAAGTACCCACCTTTTTTTTTTTTGCTTTAAGAATTTTTCAGGGACGTGAGCAAGGTGGAATAGAATTGGTGGATAAGTTCACTCAGGCACCTAATGGCTAGGGACAGACATAGCACATAAACCTGTTTAAATTATAGAAACTGGTTTAAACCTGCAACAGAACAGATGTTCAGTGCACATAAGCTAGTTTGAAAATGGCTGAAATTGGTTTGAGATAAACCTGGTTGAAGGTAGTATCAGATTTAACTGATTTGAGTCAAAGCAGTTTATGCAGTATCTGTCCCAGACCCCTTCATGGTTTAAGTTAAATCAGAGTCCTCCAGCACCCCAGATGTTTTGCAACTCTGGGCAGGGCTCTGCTCTTTGCTCCAGCCCAGCAGAGGTGGCCCCTCCCCCATGGGTGACTGGTGCCTCCTAATACTGGAGGAGCACCAGCAGCCGATTGCCGACCGAAGGGCGTCCCCCAGCAGCTGATCGCCAGCAGAAGTGCTGGTAGCAAAACTGGAAGTGCAGCTGACGCTTCTCTTAGGGGGGGCACAGATGATCTCAGGGGGTGCACGTGCACCCCCTGTGCATTGCCAGTGCCTTCCCTTTTGCTCCCTGGCTGGAGCTCTGGAACAGACTGCAGGTATGGCGGGGTCTTCCTGGCTTCCTCCTGCTCCCCGCCGCATCCTTCTTACCGCTCCCTGCTCAAGCAAGGATTCCCTCCTCCCCTCTGCCTTACAGAGACATCTGTCAGCATTGGCTAGCATACCACATGCTGGCTACAGTCCGTGCTGTGGCAGACAGGACAAAGGCAGACAGGACATTGTTGGCTTATGGCTCTTAGGAGGTAATCAACAGGTAGCTGATAATGACCTTCTGTTTCTTCCTTGTAAAAAGTTGTTTAGGAAGAGCTTGAACTTATGAGAGAGGCTTTGATTTGTTTGATGGGCTGATACATGCCAACTCCCTGTGTAATTCCCTGCTGTGTAACTCAGTGCTCTGTTATCAACAGTGAGGCGGGACGCCCTAATCAGAGCGTCCTGCCCTACGCCCCC